AAGATTATTTATTATTTCATTAATAAAAGAATTTCTATAGATATTCTTTTTACACAATAAAACTTTTCACTACTGTTGTACTATTTTTGGGATGGCAGGTTTATATCTTGGAATACCAACGGAAAGAATTCCTTCGGAAAAATTGGATTGTGTAGATTCTGGAATAAATAGCGTAGAGACCATCGAGTTTCAGCTACCTGATCAAGAACCCAGCTTTGAGCAGTCTCTTTTACGAATCATTGATGAGAAGTTGGGAAGAGGTTCTTCAACGAATAACTCGGAAGAAGATAGTCTCGAAAAAAATTTGCAAAAAGCGGTTCCAGTAGAGGGAGAACGTGGGATTGACTCTCAAGAGATTGAACTAACTTCGTCTAAACTTGAGACATTATCGACAGATCCTGATTGGAAAGTGGATCGACTGGAAGATACTGCCAACGTGGATTGTAATTTCGAGAAACTACGCTTAGAATTCCAAAGCAACGACAGAGATTCATCTCCAAATGACAAGACTCTATTAAAAATTGATGTAAAATTAACGGAAAGTCCTCCTATCGAGCTCAAAGATTACAAGAAGAAATGGATAGGATTCGATGAAATCTCTTCGCAGGAAAATACTAAATTAAGTCTCCGCGATTCGGTAACGCTTCGAAGAAATAAAAAACCAACTATAGTTTTTCTACACGGTTTTGGTTCCTCGGCAGAAGTCTTTGAGCATCAGTTGCAGTATTTCTCTTCTCTAGGTTATCCTTGCATTGCTCCCGATATGCTCGGGCACGGTATGAGCTCAGCGCCTGGACGTCCTAGAGATTATCATTTCAACAAATTATTCAAGGATTTAGACGCTGTTCTACACTATTACGCTTTTAAACCTGGGGAGAAGTGCGTCTTAGTCGCACATAATTACGGGTAAGATATTGTTTGCTTAAAACTGTACTTTGTAAAATATTCTTTTTTACTCTTCCATAATTTGTCTCGACAATTACTTTTGTAAAAAAAAAGTTTTTTTTATATTAGATTTATATTATTTTTATATTAAATTTATTAGATATTTTTTTTTATTTTGGCAATATTAATAAAATTGCACTGTAAAAAATAAAATGTTAATAAAGATTTTTTTAACATTTTTGTGTTAATTTTAATATTTTTGCACGTCTTACGTAAAGTCCACTATACATTTTTAAAATTAACGTTTAAGATTTTGAAATAAAGAAGACGTCAACGTTATGAAGAAGTAATTTTTACTTGTCAATAACTATGCACAACTCCTTCCGCGCTGACTCTCATTAGCTTTGAAATTTATTTATTATTATTATTTTAAATATTGAGAGTTCAATTTAATCATTATATTAGTTAAAATTAACTTTTTATTTTTTACAATATGATACCTGCGAACATTTTGTATAAATTTTAGGTGCAGTTTTGCTACAGCATTAGCTTGTAAATATGATAATAATATTCATCAACTTGTGCTAATATCGGGCGGTGGTCCGACTCCTCTTGCTCCACCGAGCACAGAATGCGCGGGCCATTGCTGTCTCAGGGCGATTCTCGCACCTCTGCTGATGTGTGGTTTTCATCGAGATATTCTCTATTCCGCGCGAGGCCGACAGCATCCTTATTGCGGTCAAGAATCGATAAAACAGTGGCCTTCGCACATGAAATACGTATTGAAAGGCATGAATTGGCCGCAGGGTGACTATGCCTTCCACAGGAAGGTATGCACACCAACGCTTCTAATACATGGACTAAGAGACAATAAAGTGTCATTAGTACAAGAATGTCAAATGGAAAGGGTAAGTTCATATCATGACCTATCATCCAATTAAATATTATATATATAAATAAAAAATATATTATCTTAAAATATAAATATAGAAGTTATATATATATAATATATATATATATATATATGACTTTTTTAAAAAATAACATCTTGATCTGAATTTGATCTTTATCTTAAATTTTTTAGACAATGATGAAGGCTTTCCTCGAAGCTATTCCAATGGCTGGTCATAATCCAATGACTGAATGCCCTCAACAACTGAATCATATGATACATTGCTTTATAGATTTGTGGAAGAACAAAAAATGGCAGTAGCGATATCTTGATTCTAAAAAAGAATATCTAAAATGCTATATTATACCAAAATTGCATTGACTCAAGCAATTAACAAACTATTTCAATCAATTAATTTAATTATCTCAAATATAATATTTAACTGAAAAAAGTAAGATACAAGTCAAGAAGACTTAATTCGAATGAACTAAACGATAGGATAATCAATGAAGTTCGTGTGGCCTCGTAAAAATGTGCCAAGTTTTGTACAGATGTATACAGAAGAAAATGTGCAGATAAAATGAATACGAAACGTCTCATTTGTTTAGATCACTTAAAATAACTTAATATTTCGAAATTTTTAATATTCGAGTTGATTCACGCTTACAATGCACATGAGCATTATTTGTTCTTGTTTAACATTTGATAAACGATAAGAATGAAATAATTCTTAAACATCGTGTGAATCGAAACCGTGGCTTCAATATGTCAAATATAAGATGTTCCATTTTAAACTTAAATCTAATACCTAACCTGAGAATTCTTAATAAATAAATTGTATATTATGCCTCCATTTAAAATAAATAAGTTTTATTAAAAAGTTATTTTACTCTCTTATGTCAGAAAACAGTTATTCAAAGTGATCTAGCAAATATTAAACAGAGGCTATGGAATAACGTATAAATTTACCAAAGATGATTTATATATCGTTATTTTTCATATACAGTACTTTTATAAGTTATATGTTTTACAAATAAAAATTGTATACAGATGATTACATCACAATGGTTATTTATTTTAACAAAATTAAATAATTAATCAGTCGACGATGCGCAAATATGTGTCACGCTCGTTTGATATCACCATGATCGTCAGTGATTTAACGTTTGATTAAGTGGATTCTCAGCCGACTTCATCCATTCTTTCCTAAGTATTTGTTTCAACTGACTCAATCTCAAAGTAGGATTTTGTTCTTTAATTATCGGCATCATCCGTTCCTCAAAGCTCGCGTACGCGGCTTTCATTCGTTTCTCTGGATGTCGATCTATTTCAGGATCTTTTGTGCTGAAAAGAAAATGACATAATGAAACAAGATAACGAGAAGAATTAAATTTAACTGTTATATTTTTGGAAATATAAAATATCAAGATTTGCCAAAGCTTTAATTATTATTGTAATTATATAGTGTAATTATACCTTGGCCATAAATATAAAGCACTCTCACAAATTGACGTAAATATTCTATATAACGAAAAATAAATTAAAATAGTTTAAAAAAATAGTAATTAAAAAAACAATATTTACGTTTTAAAATAGTAATTAAAAAAAACAATAATAGTTAAAAAAAAATTTATTATAAAAATTTTAATATTTTGTTAACTCTCCTTTGGATTCTATTATCGCCTATTATTTTTCCAAAAAAATGCATTAAATTGAGAGTGCTTTGTATTTATAGCCAAGGTTGTGTATAAATTTTATACAGGTTATATTCTAATGTCTTGAACGTAATTTAATTACCTTAAAACAGATATAGCCTCGTCTATACCATGCGCCGTTTCACCTTCCAAAATCAATCTGTTTAAATTTTCCTCGATCGGTTTCTCCTCTTCCTTTTTCTTCATAGCCACTTGATTTCGTTTCTCAGTGATAGCAACTATTTCGGCTCTGGTAATTTTCGAAGCAAGCTGCTTGCCACCAACTTTTATATTTGCCATTTCCTTTTCGAGCAGGGCTTTTGCTTCCGCTTTTTTTTCTAACTGCTGTTGACGTTTTTTCTCGATTTCTTCCTAAATATAATAAAATGTATATTACTCATTTCAAATACTGCGGTTGTCTTTTTAAAAATGTTCAATCGATATCTCAAAATAATAAAAAATTATGAAAAAATTACAAATTCTAAATTGCATTTAAAATTAAAACAATGAATTTTTTTTAGTGACGGTTTACCATTTAAATCATAAGTTATTTAAATATGAAATATGAATTTTTTAAATCTATGCTCTAATAGAAATGTATGTTAATAGAAACATGTGTTGTTTATAGTTTATTTACTTTATGTTATTATTTTTATTGTTATAAAAAAATTTGAAAAATAATGACAAAAATCTAAACGTTTTTGTATTTAATTATTCAAAATAACTTATACAGTTTCATTACGATTCACTAATTACAAAGATTTAGAACAAACAAATATTTTGTTTATTTACTGGGCAACTAATTTCTGTATCGTAATGTAATTTTACATAAATATAATCTTGAATATACATAAAGTTATTTATATTAAGAAATCAAGAAAGTATTTATATTAAGAATCAAAACAATGTTATGAACACAACTTTCATATGTATAATACATATTTATTTAAAGTGTAAATATTAACATATGTGCTATATACACTGTTAGAAATGTTTGTGAATTTACAATATCCTTACGATAAAAATGTGCAGTAAATTTACAAACCATATAACGTTTTGCTGTGATTTCATAATATTTGTAAATTTACAATAGAAACTTGTGAATTTACAAAATTGGCCGCACACGAGTATTAGAGATCTGCATATACTTTATCACAAAATGTTATTGTAATTTTACAATATAATTCTGTTTAAATTTATAACACATTTTTGTTGGATAAAAACTTCCAACACTTTTGGAAGTTGACAACAGAAATTTCTTACAGTGTATATTTATCGAACATCCTTAGCGCTTGTTTTATTGATAATAATTATAAGACACACACGTACTTGTTTTTGTTTCTTCTTCAATACTTGCTTATCATTGTCTTCCCATGCTTTATCTTCAGCTTCTTGCGCTTTTTTAATAGTTTCGGCCTCTTTGGCCGCTGCTTTTCTAGCCCGGGCAGCAACCGCCTTGCTGTTCTCACCCACAAATTTTTTCGGCATGTTTGATCTGCGATGTAATAAATCTCCATTGATATTCGCGAGTTTTTCATTTGATTTGTATTATTGTGCTTCTCTGTATTCAAAATTAGTGAGCATGTGTTTTGTTACGTTACTATATTTAAGTTGGCAATAGCCTGACATGCGCGGAATCATCTTGAAAATTATTAAGATTCAGGTTAGGAGACTTCAAAATAATCGACATTTCAAAGCAATAATAACACGGAAAGAATCGCGTGTGTATTTTCAATCTTGTGAGCGGACGATAAACGATTTCACGAAAAGCACATGGTTACGCGGTTAAAGAGCGGCTGCAAGTATTTAATCGTCACGCGTGAAATGTCGAAACAACGATCCACGAGAAATGCCAAGACGTCAAAGGTGGCAGGCACTGATGTGAGTGAGCATCTTGATCTTGCACTTACCGATTTCTCGCCCACACGATAGTCGATCACCTGTCGCGAAAGTAACGTGACATTTTCTGTTATGTACACTTTACCATCTCTAGCCAAGTTACCACTCCGTTATCCGTATCGATAAAAGTGACTAACCACGTCTACCAACCTTACGATAGTTACGACTGGTTCTCGTCATTGCCGCGATTGCAAAACTGTACTTACAGAATATTACACGTGGGTGGAACTGTGACATCTGTCACTTACCACGTGGCGCACGAAGCGCACTAAATATAGGTGCGTTCCGTATCGCGCATGATGCGCATGATGCATCCATTGTCCTTGTTTAACATTTGGTGAGCAACAAGGATAAACGACGCATTATGCGCATCATGCGAGAAACGGAACGCACCCTAAGGGTCACTTTTAAATTTATTATTTTAAAACTCGCTTTATGCCTGCAGGATATGTTTAAAAGATGTATCATAGGAAATAGATTAAAGAAATAAAAGGATTAAAGAATTGGAATAGTAACACGTTGGTTTGATACAACAAAAACTTGTATGCATGAGGCTAGTATAAGCCCTACTGAAAAAAATCACGTCACACAGTCTCGCATGATGAAATTATTTAATTAAAACATGTAAATCATGTAACGGAATGTTCCAAATCAGTACATGATGTTAAAATTACGTATTTTGAAAAGTCACATGATGATATGTTCTTTTTTCTTCTATTTCTATCATATTCAATTCTTTAAAATTCGATAACTATATAAAATCACATAATGGATGAAATTATTTCCAATATCATGTGATTTTTCAAATTACATCGTTTTTAAAAATCACGTACTGATTTGGAACAATCCATTACGTGATTTACATGTTTTAATTACATGATTTCATCAACTAACGTTGTGACATGATTTTTTTCAGTAGGGAGCATTTTTATAACAATCCGCTGCAAAATTTATTAGTATACAATGGCTGCGTTCAGCAGACTCAACAGTTTTGCAACCGTTTTATGATTCTTCGCTCAGATTGGACTATTCCTTTAAAAAAAACTAAAAGTATAAACCAATCAGCGCGACGAATCATAAAACGATTGCAAAACTGCTGAGTCTGCTGAACGCAGCCAATGAGCGCGTTCAAGTTGACAAAGCCTACTTGTCAAGCAAATGAACATAATTGGTTGTTATAGATCCAACCAATCATATACAATCGCTCGGTAAGCATGCCTAGCCGCTTTGCCGTCTTGAACTCGTCCAATGTTTCATAATTTATTATAAATATAATATTATTCAACTTCCTAACTATGTCAAAAAATCTTCCTATTTATAACCTAATCTAATCTCTCAAACTGTTGTGTCCTATATGCGAGATATACTATGCATATTCTCTAAATAAATATTTTTCAATTAATATTTTAGATTAGAGGGCCCCCCATGAAAATAAAATTTTCATATCGAAATTCAGACCTATAATAAGCGAGAATATATTGAAATGGATTCAGATTTTTCATAAATACGCATTTGCATTAAAATGAATCTTTTTCAATCTGAATGCCTTTTTTATAGAAATTGCATGAAGTATATTTCTTTCAATTTGAAAATTATATCTGCTTTTTTTTCTCTGCCTTTTGAATTAATATTTCTCAATTCAAAATTTTGAATAGGAAATAGTTTTTTAATCCAATTTAATAAAAAAAATTTTTTTCTTAAAATACGCATTCGGATAGATAAAATTTTAATCCATTCTCGTTTACTGGGGAAACAACTTTTCAACAAGACAAGTATGTTTGATTCATTAACTTGCCGACAGTTTACATATGTTAATGAAGAGAGACTCATTATATACCTAAGTAGAACGCAAAAGTCAATAATATATCATAAAGACATCATCATGGTCTAATATTTAATTATCACTCATAAGTTCATTTTTAAGTGATAAATGATATGATGACGTTTTATGATATCATTATAACTTAATTACGAGACTCTGTGTTCTATCTGGGATGTGTTCCAAAACTTGACTCTGCCAACTTCGAGTATCTTTTATCTTTATTCAATATTCGATGAATAACAAGGATAAAATAAATACTCGGATTGTGTGACAGTAGAGTTTTCGAACGCAATTTTGGTAGCGTATTCAATTTGCTGTCTCGACCCGATCTCGAGTCGATATATATATATATATATATATGATCTGTTTTTGTAGCTGCAAAAGAAGCGCTGAACTGTGCAAGAAGTGAACGAACTATTACACTAATATTAATATTTGCAGTTTTTTGTCGTATGACAAAGTTTTCAAGCGTGTTAATTAGCTGCAAAACAGAGAGGTTCTCAAATTTCTATCCTGTAGCCAATCAACAGACTTTAAAAATTTATCGTACGACAACAACGGACAAATGTAATATTAGCCTTACGGTTCTTGCATATAAGACGCAGCAATGCTAAGAATCAACGCGTAATTTATACGCGTATTTTGATCACTCAACCTCTCGTTTTTCTGAGAATAATAATAAATACGCAACGGGACTGCGCTTGCCCGCGCTTTTAAGCCCATGACACATACAAGAACGTAAGGCCGTAGCACGCAAGCAGTAAGTGAATTGGCCAATCACAGTAGAGACCGTAAAGCCAGTAGCGAATCCAATGTTACGATTTCCTTACTGATTACACCTTACGGCCTTACGTTTTTCTATGTGCTCCCAGCTTTACATGCCGAGTGTGTCGAGAAATTGCTTCCATTAATGCATTGTTTGCAGGATCCACCTACGGGACCTGTGGTCTTAAATAAAGACGGAAACGTTGCAATTAAAATTCAGGCTAAACCCGGAGCGAAATGTAACAATGTAACCGGTAATGCAAAATATCATTTGATACAGCTTTTTTTGTTATAAAAGAAACCGCCTGTTTTTTTAACGTTATTATATATTCTTCGCAAAAAAAGGAAAAAATTTCATTAACGGAATCGCATAATTATTGCTAAAGAAATGAATATCCATAGATATTTCTGACGAAGCAGTAGGCATTGCAATCTCCGCCCCACCAACGGAAGGTGAAGCCAATGCCGAACTCGTTAAGTATCTAGCTTCGATTTTTGGAGTAAGAAAATCTGATGTGTCCTTGGATCGGGTTAGTGCTTGGATTAACTCGAAGCAGTTTTATTAGTTTGTCCATATTTTAAACTTTTCCTTTTTGCAGGGATCTCGAAGTCGCCAAAAAGTAGTTATAGTGTCAGGAATTACGACAGATAAAGTTTTGACGAAATTGAAAGGAGAGATGGATAATTAAATGTACTTCTTTACTAAATTTTTCTGTCATTAAAAGATTTTTCCCAATTTATACATACATATAGTCTTTTCCTTATAAATATATTTTAATTTGTCCTATCTTTATACTTACTTTCCGCATATTTTCGTTTAACCTTTTCGATACGATTTTATTTTTCGCCACTATGCCTCTGCTGTACGGACAGTCGAATCGTGAATACACTGCCACTGTATGAGACAACTGTGACGTAAATGTCACTTCATCGGACAAGAGAAGCATAGCAGTTAAATTTTACCGTGTAATGTAAAGTATTGATGGAAAGGAATTGTTAAATTATAGTCGTCATTATAGTGCGCGGCGAGCGTTTAACGCTAGACGACTATAGTCGTCGTTAACATAGCGAGCGTCTACTGTTGGACGGCTATAGTCGTCGTTAGTATCGAAAGGGTTAAAAGTTATTCAATTATTTTACATTATACAATATTATACAATTTATACATCTGTTTTTTCGTAAACGCAATTAACCGGGTTAAAATATTGTCAATATTCGTAATATTCAATGTACATTAAATTTTTTAACAGCTACACGAAGAGAATTTTTTCTTAGAATTTGCCCTAAAAATATGACAGTCGTGGGACAACATTGTATTTCGAAGAATTTTAATGTAAACCTCTCTCATTCATTAATAAACTACAATAAAGTATAAAATAAGTTTGACCAATTTTACTAAAATGCATGGTAAAAATCTTTAAAATATTGTATTGTACCACAACTACCACATTTTCATAAATTTTAAAAGTTTAGAAAAATTTAAACTTTAAAAGAAAATTCTCTCCGTGTACGTATAATTGCACCAGATACGTAATTTCCAAATATCGCCATCGATTCTTTAAAATTTTACATGAGCGTTGCTGTGACTAGCAATACAAGAATCGATGAAGATTTTTAAGGAAGTATAGCATAAACGCATGGAGGCGTAACTGTGACCTACGATCACAGAAAATTAGTACCTTTCTAGACACTAATTTTGAAATAATCCAATAATAGATACGTAATATTACGCTTTCACTCTTGTATTTCGAAGGCCTTGTCGTCGAGCCAAGGTCGGAAGATGGGTAGCGTCGATGGATAATGAGCGCCCCGTTTGGACGGCGCCGTACCAACTGGTGCACCCTCCGGCCTCAAAGGGTACGTAGCCAACACGATCGGTATTTGTAACTTGATTTCTTTGTCCAGACTCTTCGGGCTTATGACGAACTGCAGAGAAACGTTAAGCAGATAAATTTCAAGAATTCCTTGCAAGAGGATTCTGACGCAATTACATTTTTCTCTCTTGATACTCACGTAAACGTGATAAAGAACGTTAATCAAGTGGCACCCTCTCAGATTCGTCGGCGGCAACGGAGGAACGTACATTTGTTCGTTTAGCCACTCCTCGCTCTCACCTGGCCGAATCTTCCCCCTAGAAACGCTAGCCAGCTCGCGAGTCTCGCTAGCGAGCACTTTACCTCGACACAGATACTGTATCGTTTCGGTGAGTGACGCCTTGGTTGACTTCATCGTCACCTGTTAATTCGAATTCTCAAATTTTTCGTGCTTTGAGTATAGATACCTCCGAGATTGTATTTATTAAAAGCGTCGAAATTTTGTATCTATTGTATGCTGATTAAAGTGTACCTTACTGCGATTGCTGACAGTCGCAGAAATACCGATCGTTTCCCCGGGTACGTATCCACCCCGGTCCAAACTAACTCTGCAGAATACAGGACCACCCGATACGCAAGAGACACCCACGCGCTGTTCAATCTCCTGCCTCGCAGGTTGCTGTTCGATCATGAAGGCATTTTATTTATATACATACAATTTCGGAATTCAAGTTAAATTTTCTAAATCTAAATTAACTGATATTTTAAAAAGGAAAGTCCGTTTATTCTGATCGTTAACATTTGCCGATATATCTATATCTATCTACGATTGAACAATGCTTGTTGCTGAATGCTGTCCGCCAACGCGAAAATTTTTTCATGTGTTTTTTCTAGAGATGCAAATGTATTGCTGCCGCAATATATGGGTGGTGATTCCATCACGATCTAGCGATTATCGTTATGTTGCAACTGGCGCAAAACAATGCAAATACGAATCACCATGCAAACGAAATGTTTCGCGTCTTTTTATTTGATCTTAAATTTATTTGTATCGAACGTGTCGAATATATAATTTCTTTAAATTCTTTGTCTTTGCATGAGAGAGAAGATATTTGCAACGCTTTCCATACAGGTCGGTGACTAGTATTTGGGTTATGATAATGAACGCTGAGTATTCATTCAATTGCACGCGCGAAACACTTTCCTTGGTCTGAATCGGTTATGTGAAGGTGTTCACTCAGGAAACGGATGTTTATCCGTAATAATTTTTTAGTAAAACAAATATGACTAGCTCAATAAATCAACGAATTTAACCCGTAAAAGATACGTCTCTTTTAAGCAATTTTTTTTTAATTGAATTAAAACTTATGTTTTTCAATGTAAAATTTTCTAACTAATCGATTGGTAATATTGAATTTTAAAAAAACGTTATTCATTCAAAACTGCATGTTAAGCAAAATTAATTTCCTCAAATATCGACGAGTTGGAAATTTTTCTGGTGCAAATTTGCACCCACGTATCATTTACGAGTTAAAACACGTGATGATAAATCACATCTGGATTAATTTATTGATTATCCTAATACAACTCTCACCGCTAATATCGGAGGTTCCAGATTTAAGTCAATCGGATTCATGACGATGAAGACTTGTTGATTTTTGTGAGTAAGTCCGCCTGGCTCGCGAAGAGCCGCTTTACAATAATATTGCACCCATCCATGTTTTCCGAGAAAAGTGGAAGGTAGACCCAATGGCAACCCCAATTTGAAGGGAAAACTATGTATTCCGGGAGATAGCAATGACGGTCCTTCGCCTATTAAAAATATTATTTTGTGTCTTCAATTAAGTTAAAAAGACGTCAAGCTATCTCCTAAATTACACCACAGTAAATTATTAGAGAGAAAATTTTTGTTAAGCTATTATACAATACTATTATGCTATATTATACAAATAATTTACTGAAGCGCGTCACTTATTGTTGAAACGTTAAATTGCATATCCTCAAAATTGTATATATACAATATAATCTGAAATAATTAAAATTCACCTGGTTCACCCAACAACCGCATGCGAAAATCAATGTAATTTTCTTTGTCGTAAACTCTCTCGGCACGTTGACTGCGTACTCGAACTACACCTTCTCCCACAACGTGGAAATGCAGTCCCGAGACGCTACGGTAATGTACCCCACATTATTAAACTTGTGTTACTTACTAGGTCTACCATGTACACATTTATGTAAATCTGACACTTTATCGCGTCTCTTAATAAAAAAAGATTTTTTTCTTCAACGCATACATCTTTTTACGCGCAAAAATGATTTTTTCGACCATGAACTCAATACCCTCTTTCTATAAAACGTTACTTACTAAGCTTCATCGTCCAGCTCTATGAGAACACGGCCGGACAAGAAGTGGCCAGGAAAATATAGTAGATTCGTGTTATCGAAAAGTATCAAGAATTTGCTGAGTTTCCTCGTCATCTTGTTGCCGAAATGGGAATATTTTTCGTTATGTATTTGCGGAGGAGGTTTATGCAGACACGTTTACGTCACCGCGGCTTCACGCTCACTGAATACACGTCGAGGAACGCGCAGGAGCAACCTTCTTCTTCCATGCGTTACCTCGTGATGCGTAGTGAGAATCACTGGCTTGCATCGCATCAGCAACACGTTCGTAACATGGCATGCATCTCTCCTTCTCTTTCTGTTTTTCGCAATCTCTCTTTTTCTGCGTGCTGGTGGACTGGTACCAGTTACGATACCACAATCCACATCATCATCGTACTTTTCGCAACGGCAGCACGTTACGCACGCGTTTTCCGTGCTTCTCACGATCGATGAGCGATCGAGAGAAGACCGATCCACCGATACTCTGGACTGTATCCTCACCCACCGCGAAATTTTCTGTCACTGTTTCATAGTAGTCACCGCACCTTCTTGTCCATTCTTGGAGACGCACTCACTTTCGCTCCCTACCTTCCTACTTGGTTGCTTCTCTACCACCTCCCATCCAGTCTGATCCGGACTGATCTCACCTGGCTTCACCTGCCTGTAGGTATATGTGGCCAATAGCAGTACTCTAATCAACGTTACTGCTTTTGGCATTGATGTATGTACGTTTAAATAACGGTACGTTTTGTATTAGTTTTTTTTAATGTTGCGTTAGCCATTAAAGTTGTGTTTATTATAATGAAAACGATATTTCCTATGTATTTAACCGCTTAAATATAACATTTAATTTTAATAACGGAAAGATAATTTATTGGGATCTATATATTTTTGCCATTTTTGGACGAAATTTAAATATTTGAAATCCATTTTAAATTATAATAATTATTACAAGACCGGTATATAAATAAATTAACTAAGTAAGAGAAGCGTCAGTTTCATTTTTAAATTAGATGTTGATAATATTCATATATATGTATTTTTAATATATTTATGTCAGATATATGATTACTTTCGAATTTTTGCAATACAATCAATCTGAAATAATAATAATAATAACCTTATGAATTAAATTTCGTCATTGTAGTAAAGAAACTTATTGCAAAAATATTACCTCATATTTTATGATCGAAGTAATCAGATAAATTATCCATCTAATGAATCTAAAATGAATCTATTTTTCACCTATAATTTATACCAGAATTAAAATAGAATTCTATTTTTATATTTTTATTATTGATATACTACAGTATTTTTATATTTTTATATTTTTATATACCGCGTATAATTGTAAAATATATTGTAAAATATATCCAAATATAATATAAATTGTAAAATCTATTAAAATACATATAATATATGTATAGACATACATATCATAATTACTTATAAAATTATAAATAAAATTTCATCTTAAGATCTGACATAAATTATAGATTATTTACAATGGATTTA